AAAATAACAATTGTTGGCAAGGATGTAGCATCACTGGAAGCCTCATGCACAGCCGGTGAGAATGTGAAATGGTGCAGATGCTGTGGAAGACAGTATGACAGCTCCTCAAGAAATTAAAAATAGGATGACCATATGATCCAGCAATTCCATATGTGGGTATATACCCAAAGAGCTGAAAGCAGGCACTCAAACAGATATATGTACACTCCTGCTCACAGCAGCATGATTCACAGTACCATAAGGTGGAGGCAACCAATTGTTCATTGACAGATGATTGGATAAACAATGTAGTGTAGACATGCAATGGAATATTCAGCCTTAAGAAGGAAGGAAATTCTAAGACCTGCTACAGCATGGATGAACCTTGAGAACATTATGCTAAGTGAAATAAGCCAGTCACAAAAGACAAATGCTATGTTATTCCACTTACAGGAGGTCCCTAGAGTAGTCAGATTCATAGAGATAAAAAGTAGAATGGTGGTTGCCAGGGATTGGGAGAGGGAAGAATAGGGTTTAATAGGCACAGAGTTTCAGCTTTGCAAGGTGTATTAGTCAAGATTCTCTAGAGAAAGACAACCATGGGGTGTGTGTATATGTACATAGAAAGAGATTTGTTTTAAGGAATGGGTTCATGTGATTACAGGGGCTGGCAAGTCCAAAACCTGTAGGGTGGCTTGGCTGGCTGGAGACCCAGGGAAGAGCCAATGCTTCTGCTGGCTGAATTCCCTCTTCCTTGGGGGAGGTCAGTCTTCTGTTCAATTGATTGGGTGAGGCCTACTCACATTATGGAGGGTAATCTGTTTACTCCAAGTCCACCAATTTAAATGCTAATATCATCCACAAACACCCTCATATAAACATATAAAGATAATGTTTGATCACATATCTGGGCACCATGGTCTAGCCAAGTTGACACAGAAAATTAACCATCACACAAGATGAAAAGAGTTCTGGAGATGGATGGTGGTGATGGTCACATAACGTGAATGTACTATATGCCACTAAACTGCAAACTTAAAGATGGTAAAGATGTTACATTTTATGTTATGTGTATTTTGCCACAATTTAAAATAATGTAATTTTTTTAAAAAGCAGAAGCTCTAGAGTCAGACCACCAGGTTGCTTTCTTTCGTTACATACGGTCTCATGTCTGTGCACAGGTCATGGAGACCCTCTGAGCTTCCTTCACCTCCTCAGAATAACTGGACCGGGGATGGGCATGGTGGCTCATGCCTGTAATCCAAGCACTGTGGGAGGCAGGCAGATCCACTTGAGGCCAGGAGTTCAAGACCAGCTTGGCCAACATGGCGAAACCCCGTCTCTACTAAAATACAGAAAAATTAGCTGGACATGGTGGCATGTGCCTGTAGTCCCAGCTTCTCCAGAGGCTGAGGCACGACAGTTCCTTGAATGCAGGAGGCAGAGGTTGCAGTGAGCCGAGATCATGCCACTACACTGGGCAACAGAGCAAGACATCTAAAAAAAAAAAATAATAATTGGATCAGTGACAATGATGTCCTATAATAGGGAGGTGGTCAAAATAAACAAAGCAACACTTGTAAATCCTTAATTTGTATAGTATCTAGCACAAAGTAGGTGTTTGATATATTTTAGATGATGATGATGATGATGATGATGATGATTATTTGAGGCAGAGTCTCCCTCTGTTGCCCAGGTTGGAGAGCAGTGGCTCAATCTTGACTCACTGCAACCTTTGCCTCCCAGGTTCAAGCGATTTTCATACCTCAGCCACCTGAGTAGCTGGGATTACAGGCATGTGCCACCATGCTCAGCTAATTTTTTTGTATTTTTAGTAGAGACAGAGGTTCGCCATGTTGGCCAGGCTGGTCTCAAACTCCTGACCTCAAGTGATCCGCCCGTCTCATCCTCCCAAAGTGCTGGGATTACAGCCGTGAGCCACCGCGCCTGGCCTAGTTTATTAGTATTATTATTCCCAGCATCTAACAATGCCAGACACAGAGCAGGTACTCAGTGCATGTTTTTTGTTTTGTTTTGCTTTGTTTCTGAGACCAAGTCTCACTCTTGTCGCCCAGGCTGGAGTGCAATGGCGCGATCTTGGCTCACTGCAACCTCTACCTCCCAGGTTCAAGCGATTCTCCTGCCTCAGCCTCCTGAGTAGCTGGGATTACAGGCGCCTGCCACCATGCCTGGCTAATTTGTGTATTTTTAGTAGAGACGGGGTTTTACCATGTTGGCCAGGCTGGTCTCAAACTCCTGACTTCAGGCGATCTGCCCGCTTCGGCCTTCCAAAGTGCTGGGATTACAGGTGTGAATCACCGCGCCTGGCCCCAGTGCATGTTTGTTGAATAAGTGACTGAATAAATGACCTTGTTCAAATGACTTAATTGCTCTGTGCCTTAGTTTCCTCATCTAAAAAAACTTGGGGATAATAATGATAACCATGAAGATTGGGGAAATATACATGACATGTATATATATATATATGTATGTGTGTGTGTGTGTGTGTGTGCATGTGTGTGTGTGTGTGTGTGTGTGAAGAATTCAGGTTGGAAAGCCTGATACAGCAAGTATTAGACAAATATTGGCTACCATTATTATCAGTGGTAATAATGGCAAACACTTTTCCTATTGCCTGGCCCTTTCTTTGGAGCACTGACTGGCAGAGATGTCATGCAGCTGTGGCTCTGTGAAGGGCTATGGAAGAAGAAAGAGTTCTATTCATCCAGTGCCTCAATGGCACAGGAATTAGAGTAGGGGACAGGGCAGAGGTGGATTTTCCCTGCACTGACATTAAGGAAGATGACCCCTTCTCACCACTAACTTAGTATTGCAAATAGCTGACCTCCTGCGACCAGCATAGTTGAGCACTTAGTTGCACTTTTGTCTTGCATTGTCTTGCATGGATCTCTTGTTCCTCCACCTCCTCTTCGTCTGTTCCAGTCCCAGCTCCAGTCAAAACTCAACCAGGACCCTCCTCCCTCAGAAACCCCCTGACTGCTCCAGCCCACGCCCTCTCATGAAGAATAGGATACTATACCTGGGTTGAGTTTTAGGCGTGTCATGAAACTCCAGCATTCTCTTCCAGCTACGGGTTAGGTTTGCGGGTCAGGAACCATGCGTGATATTTACTTCTCGTGAGTCTCCCAAAGCTCCCAGCTCCCATGACCTTGAGTGATCCTTAAACTTGCCTTACATCTGAACTATCAACTCCACGAGGGCAAGAGCTGTCATTCTATTCCGACCATGTTTGCACAAGCCTGGGTAGATTTTAAAGCTCAGCCAATGTTTATGGGGGATTAAAATGCCGGACTCACCCTGGATGCCTGAGGCAGTCAAGCCTGGGGAACATCTCCAGATCTCTCTACTAGCAGCTCTTGTTGTCCAACCCTGCAGATGGAGAGGGAGAAGATACAGGAGGCCGGGCTGCACAAAAGATTCTCGTGTCTTACTCTAGTCCTGTGGTAGGCAGGCTTCGCTAAAGCCTGAATGAAGTATAAATGGCTTTAGTATCCTCACTTCACTTTGCTCTGACTCCACCCTGCCAAACCCAGTCTTGATGATTAATTTCATTTCCCCAGCATGGACAAGAGGAACAGTCCAGGCACCTGAGAATCTTCCAATATAAAGCAATACACTGGCTGTGTGGCACATTGGCTGTTTACTGACCATTTCCCCTGCTCCTCAAATTGAAAAGGCAGCAGCAACTTGGGAACTAAGCGCTTGGATGCACTGGGTACTTGTTAGTTGGTGCTCATGCTGTAAGGAGCTGAGTCTTGGGGTTAGGCTTGAAATCCTAAGCAGATGAGAAACCCTGTCCTCTAACCACTGTTCTGCTCTTCTCTTGGGCACCTAACCTCTCCTGCGGGAGGGCGGTCCTGTTCTTTGTCTTTCTCCACCTCCTCCCAGCAAAATTGTCATCAGAATGACTGTGGACTGGGTTCCATTTAAGATTCCCCAGGTCAGCTGGGCGTGGTGGCTCACGCCTATAATCCCAACATTTTGGGAGGCCGAGGCGGGTGGATCATGAGGTCAGGAGTTTGAGGCCAGCCTGACCAACATGGTGAAATCCTGTCTCTACTAAAAATACAAAATGTAGCCAGGTGTGGTGGTGTGCGCCTGTAATCCCAGCTATTTGGGAGGCTGAGGCAGGAGAATCACTTGAACCCGGGAGGCAGAAGTGGCAGTGAGCAGAGATCGTGCCACTCCAGCTTGGGTGACAGAGTGAGACTCCGTCTCAAAAAAAAAAAAAAGAAAAAAAACCAAACCAAACCAAACCAAACCAAACAAAAAACATTCTCCCGGTCTCAGGTATCTATCAGTTGGAGGTTCTAAGACTGGGATAGATTAGCAGTGGAGGGAGGAGATAGGAACCCACTGAAAGGACTGAGAGGAAGATGAAGCGTTAACTGGACACAAGCGTGTAAAGATCATCTGAGTCAACAGCTGCCGAAAATTCTGGAATGAGATAGTTTGAGCTCAAAAGCTCAAACTTTTGAGATGGGGTGGAGGCAGAGTGAGAACTGAGGGCTCTGATAAAGGGTAAGCCATGAAAAAGACAGAGGCATCGCTAGGTTGATGCCTGGTGGGGTTAAGGGCTCCACGGTGTTTCTTGTCTCTATTAACCATCACAATCCAGGGAACTTGGATATTATCATTCTTGTGACAAGTGAATATGTCCCATCTCCCTCACAAACAAGAATTCGGGTCTGTGACATGGGACAGAAATCTCCAATGTGTTGGGAATTCCAAGGATATGGAGGTCACTCTCTCAGCTATCAGGACCACCAGGTGTGGGGCTGGGGCAGCCCCAGCCATCGCCACAGGCCTTGAATGGGCTCCCCAGTGACCCTAACATTATCCTTACCTAAATGCCATCCCATTAAACAGACTGGGAACAGTTTCTGTTTGGGATGATGAAAAAGTCCTGGATATAGACAGTGGTGATGGTGACGCAATATTGTGAGGGTGCTTAAGCCACTGAACTGTACACTTAAACATGGTTAAAAGAGTAAATTTCATGTTGTTTATGTTTTTTATTTATGTTTTACCACAATAAAAAAAATTTTAAAGATTGGGAAGCACAGGCTCCATGGAGATTAGAGGAGGAGGAGGGGCCGCTGACTAGGGGTAGATAAGAGTTGGGAGGACAGAGAATCTAGGAAGAAATATGTTGTAAGAAGGGGAGGTTGAAGCCTTCTCTCTCCTCCTCCCCCGGCCATCCAAGAATCCTGTCCATGCAGCTCCATGTTCAGCCCCACCTCCTCTCCAGAGCTTTCTCTGTCCCCTCAGGTCTTAAGAGCCCGCAGAATGCCACCTAGCACTTAGCTTCTGTGCTTCATGAACATTGATGTCTCATCTCCAGTCAGACTGCAGGTTCCTCACGGACAGGTGGCATGTGCCTGACATCTCTGTGCTATTCACAGGGACTGGCACATTCTGGGCACATACTAGGTACTCAATACCCATTATACAGTAAGTCTCTTTTTTTGAACAGGATTGGGGAGAAGTAAGTAAATTTTAGCTAACTAATAAAACCTTTCTCTTCTAGATATAGAACTAGTAAATGAGTGCTTTACTTCTCTGAGCATTTTCACATACCAGGATGTGGTCCTAAAGTCAAAAGTCTGGTGCCTTATCAAGGTAGTTATACCTGGGGTAGCTCAGACCTGGGGTGACATAGGGGTTGTGATGGTAGACATTGATTTTAGTGAGGCCATCACTTTCTGAGTCTAGAACTCTTCCTTGGGAAGAGCCTTTAGAAACCTCAGTCTTCCATCACAGTCACGGTGCATTTGTTGAGCAGACGTCTTCTGAGTTGGCTACTGCCAGACTGGATGCTAAACAAATTTTGACTATTTGCAAACAAGCTAAAAAATAAGGACAAAGATATTCATGCCTTGTAGAGAATCTTTAAAATAATGTGAAATCCTGAAAACGTCTGGCACATGGTAGGCCTCACCAAATATGCTGTAAGATCTAAAAGCTGTTCTTACACGAGAATTCCAGAATGTTTCAAGAAAGGAAAACATTGGTCTAACCAACACAAACATTGTTTTTATGTGTTTGATTTTAGAAGTCTGTGAAATGACTTTTTTTTAGCTGGAATCACAAGCTCTGTGCCTAAGAGGCCGGGTAAGGAACCTCAGAGAAGCCCAGTTGGGCTTTAGGATGAGGGGGAGTGCTGAGGGCTCTGATCCCTTAGGCCAAAGAGGCCAACTTCCACTCAGCTCCAGCCACCAGTTGCTAAACCTTTTGCTTTTTTCACAACAGAAGCTGGAAGTCCAGATTTTTACGTGACCTTTCAAGATATTTAAAATAACTTGGAGTCACCGATTCATTGTGGCCATGAAACTCATAGACACATTTGCATTCATGCCTCCTCTGACAGGCTTCCCAGCCAACGCCCCTCCCTCACTTGCATCCAGGTCTCATTGTCTCCTACCTTCTCTGGGATTTTGCTTTTGTAGTTCACCATTGTGATCTGATTTCTGACCCAGCTGCTCCTGATGCTGCTCTCACCAAGATCTGGATTTGCCTTGCAGCGAAATCCAAAGGGTTTGGAAGTCCTTTGCCTAGGTGACCTCTCTCTAGCCTCCAGCGGCCTCCTCCTCTCTGAAGCACATCTTTCCTCAACTCCTCTGTCACCTCCACCTGGGGCTTTCCTGTCCAGTTCTTGCACCTCCACTTTCCAATCTTGTTTACAGGCCTCTCTCAGTGCCATCCCCTAATGTTGGTGTCCCAGAGGCTTCTGTCCCAGACCCCCAATTTCTCACTCCACACTCAGTTCTTTGGGAAGATCATCCACTCCCCCATAGCTCCAGAAGCACATGTGGAAAATTCTCAGCTCTATGTCTGCATCCCGGCCCTCTTCTTAGCTCTCCACCCACACAGCCTCCTTCCTGCTGGGCAGGCACTGCTCGCAACTCAGCAGATGCAGGACTGCTCCCCCAGCACGAACTGTCCCCAACACCGCGTCTCCCTTCTGGGAGTATGCCACTGTCATCCAGTCAGTGGCAAGCAGAAATCGGGCCAAGCTCATTGATTCCCCCACCCACACCAGTCAACAGGTCCTGTGTCCTCTGCCTATTAAGTGTCTCTTGAATCCATCACTTCTCTGTTTCCTCTGACACAACTATGGTCCCAGGTCACCACCACCTGTCACCAGGACAACTGATGCCCAGGCCTCCAGTCTCGCTCCTGAGTTGTCTTGCCAAACATCCTTCCAAAATGCAGGACTGTAAGCGTGGCCCTGTTCCTGTCCTGTCTAACCTTGCCATGGTTCCCCCTCTCTTGGACACAGTCTAAACTCCTTCAAAGGTGTGAAAGGCCCTTCCATCTCTCAGGCCTCTGCTCTGCCTCTCATCCCGCTCACTGGGAAATGAATAATGCTGCGCTCCAAGTCCGACGAGAGGCAGAGGAGGGTCAAACCCAAAACTACTCACTGCAAGCCCCATAGGCTCCCCATTATCCTGCCCTCCCGCCTCATGGCCAGGCAGCCCTAGCTCTCATACCTGCCTAGGCTGAAGAAGGGCAATACAGAGACTTCTGGACCCAGCAGCCTCAAGAAAGGACTTGTTGCAAGTGCGATGTGAAAGCAACCTTCATCTGCAGTGGATGTGCCACCTCCTTCCTCAGGCCACCCAGCTCCGAATCCCCCCGGAGAGCTGCAGAGACCGCACAGAGCTCCCAAGCCCACGCCAAAGGACGGCCTGCCTCCTTCGGCTCCGGTCTGTGACACGTGGCGTGAGTGAAATGCACCCTAATGTTCCTTCCTTATACTTCCGAGCTAGAAGCAGGAGCCAGGGTGGTGGTTTGGTGAATAAATACATTACATTTTGATTTGGGAGAACCAATTAACAGCAGCTAGCTAAATGTAACTCACCCAGGACAGAAGGGCAAGTGGAGAGGGGTGGTCTGCGCGTGGATGGAGTTGGGACAGTGGCTAAGGAGAGTCAGGGTTCCCTCCCCAACTCATTTAACAGCTTCAGAACTTTCTGATTTTAATTTTAATGAAACTTTAAGTACTTAAATAATCACTCTTTTCCCGCCCTGGTTGAGGCCGCGCTGGGTCCAGGAAATATCTGCTTTCCAGCGGGGCACCTGGGTGGGAGCCTTCCAAGAACTTCAGCCTCAACTGTTCCCAGCAAGGGTTCGCTCGCATTTCTGTCCTAGGAGGTCCAAGCTGGGTATCCTGTGCGGACGCAGACACTGCGGGAAGGAAACAGGGGTCCCGCGGAGGCCAAATCTTCGGACAGCTGCCCAGGCCACCGTGCTCACCCCAGGCGGTCTCATGGCACAGGCCTCTCGAAACTGTAGGCAAGAAAGGGTCCTGGTGAGAACTAGGCTCAGAAAAAGAGCGGGGGCGGCGCCACCTCTGGGGGAGGGGACCAGGCTGGGGCCGCGAGGGCGGCGTCCGGGGCCGCATGGGCGGCTTCGCCGTGAATGAGCTGGTGCCGCACCAGGTGGGTCTTGCGACTGAAGCTCTTTCCGCACTGTGGGCAGGAGAAGGGGCGGGAGCCTGTGTGGATCGCCTGGTGGCGGACTAGGTTGGTTTTGGAGCTGAAGCTGCGGGCGCAGACGGCGCAGGCGTGGGGGCGGCTGCCCGTGTGCACCGCCTGGTGGCGGCCCAGGTGCGACTTGCGGCTGAAGCGGCGGCCGCACTGAGCGCAGGCGAAAGGCCTGGCGCCGCTGTGGGCCCTGGAGTGGGCGACCAGATTGGGCCGCGAGCCGAAGCGGCGGTCACACTGCGTGCAGGCGAAGGGCCGTTCGCCCGTGTGCACGCGCCGGTGCCGCGCCAGGTGCTGCCCATGGGCGAAGCCGCGCCCGCAGTCCGGGCAGAAAAAGGACCGCTCGCCCGAGGGGGCGCGCTGGGGCGCCACAGGATCGGATCCTGGGCCGCAGTCCGGTCCGCCAGGCGCGCTGGCCAGGGGCTCGGCGGCGGGGGGATCCACGGTGGCGCCCAGTGCGCACTCGTTGCACCCATAGGGGCGACCCTCGCTGCGGTGCAGACACTGGTGCGTGGCGAGGTTCTTTTTCCAGCCGAAGCTCAAGCCGCAGTCGGAGCAGGCGAAAGGCTTTGGCCCGGGAGGGGATGGGGTGGGGGACGGGGCAGTGGAATGAGGAGAAGCGGACGCGTCGGGAGAGGGCCTGGCCGGGCCGGCCGCCTCGTGCACCCTTTGGTGCCGCACCAAGTGCTGCTTATGCGTGAAGCTGCGTGCGCACTGCGCGCACTGGTAGGGTCTCTCGCCAGTGTGGATGCGCTGGTGCCGAATCAAGTGCGTCTTCTTGCGAAAGCGCTTCTCGCATTCTGTGCAGGGGAAGGGCCGCTCGCCAGTGTGGGTCTTCTGGTGGGAGCCCAGGTGGATCTTCTGGCTGAAGCGCTTGCCGCACTCCGCGCACGGGTAGGGCCGCTCGCCCGTGTGCGTGCGCAGGTGGCGGGTCAGGTGGGCCTTCTTGCTGAAGCGCTTGTCGCACTCGGAGCACGGGAAAGGCCGCTCCCCGCGGTGGCTGCGCTGATGCAGCAGCATGTGGGCGCGCTGCGTGAAGCTGCGGCCGCAGTCCGGGCAGGCGCAGGGACCCTCGCCCCGGTGCAGCCGCTGGTGCAGTCGCAACGTCAGCTGATCCCGGAAGCGCCGCTCACACTCCCCACAGCCGTAGGGCTTCTCGGGCATCGGAGCCCACCCGGACAGCGCGAGCCCACTCAGTGCCCCCGGGGCCCCTGGCTCCAGTTTGTAAGCGGCAGCCAGATGCCCCAGGTCAGGCGCAGGAAAGGGGCTGGGAAGTAACGATAGATGCTGGGGCCATTCGACCACCTCTTCTGCCTCCTGATCCTCATCCTCTACCTTCACCTTCCGAATCATCCACTCGTCTCCTGAAAGGTCAAAACAAGAATTGTCTATTGAGCTCCACGTGCGGCAACGTTTATTTAACCACAGGATCTCCACTTGCTGGAGCCCTGCGGTCTGGCTCTGCTCTCCACTCTACCTAACGGTTCCTGAGGGTGACCAAATCCGCAGCTTTTCTCAGGCCTCCTGCACTCTCGGAAGCCTGTGATGCGTATGAACACCACACCCCTCCCGGGGGCTTCTTCCCCGGCCTGGATGTGCCCAGGAGCCCTCCGGCACCCCTGAAGAGGAAGGTTGCCCAAGCTTCAGTCCTCCTGCTTCGCTCCAGGTTCACATCCCTTTGGTGGCTGGCCCAGATCTTCCTGCTCCAGCAGTGCCTTTCTGGGACCTCAGTCTCCATCTCCGGTCCAGCAGCTCTCCTTGGTACTGCAAACTGGCCGCGGCTCAGCAGCTTTCTCACCACACACCTGACCTTCCCAAACTGAGCCCTGGCTGACTTTAACCTTAGGACTACAGCCTCCTTCCCTGGTGGCCTTGAAAACTTGATCTTTGACATCTCACCTGGGGTGATTCTCTTGCTCTCTAACCCCCACCCCCAGCCCACCTTACCTCTAGTGGCCAAGGAACCAGGGTGCCCTCGTACTCCTGCTACTCCCTTCTTTCCTGCTGGACAGCTGGAGGGGAAATCACCATTTAGGAAGACCAGGATGGAGTTTACAGGGTCTGGGGAACTAGTGAACACTGGCTCTGGAGAAGCAAGGAGGGCCCTCTGGGGGAGCCTCAGCCTAAGGGCAGGTTGCAGGGGATTCCACTGGAGTGTTGCCCCTCTCGGGTGCTGCAGTGGTCCAGCCAAGAGGAAGGAGCCCGGGGTCCAGACGAGAGGGTCCAATTTAGGTTCTCCTCTGTCACTAACTAGGAGTGTGACTTTGGTTCAGTCACTTAACCTCTTTGAGTTATGTTTCTTAGTCCGCTAAGAAAGTTTTCCCTTTGTCTAAGAGTTGGAGTAGTTTAAAGCTCTTACGCCTGTTTTGCATCATCAGCTCCTGGGGAACTTTGAGAAAATGCACAAATGGGGGCAAGGCCCACAAATGTGTTCCATCTTTAAAGCTCCCAAAGTGACTCTCATTTGTGAATCACTGAATCAGATAATTTGAGTTCCTGTCTGGCCTGAGCCTTGATTCTATCACACATGGACTTCCACAATCAGAGGTACTCCCAGTTTCTTCTATCAGTTCATTGACTCCACACTCCTGTCTACTTATCATACTGTGATACTGCTTTCACCTTCATTGTGGCACTCTTCACTTTTCTACTCAAGAACCATCAATAGCTCCTATTTATTTTTAATTGAGTCAGGGTCTTGCTCTGTCTCTCAGGCTGGAGTGCAATGGGATGATAATGTCTCACTGCAGCCTCAAACTCCTGGGCTCAAGTGATCCTCTTACCTCAGCCCCTCAAGCAGCTGCGACTACAGGTGTGCATCACCATGCCCAGCTGATATTTCTTATTTTTTCAGAGATGGAGTCTCACTGTGTTGCCCAGGCTGGTCTTGAAATCCTAGCCTCAAGCAATTCTCCCACCCCAGCTTCCTGAGTCGCTGGGATTACAGGCATGAGCCACAGTGCCCAGCCCAGCACCCTATTATTTGAAGATAAAACAGGTTCCAGCTGTATCTGAGGCTCACCCCACCCAAGTCCAACTTTCTTTCTCCCAGGCATGGACCTTCCACTTCAGCCAAGCTGCTCTCTTCCCCTTTCCTGCTTCAAGATCTTCTCACCCTAGAACGCCTTCCCATCCTCCACCCCAGCCCTTTCAGAACTGAAGTTTACACCTTTCTCAAAATGCAGCACAAATTAATGTTTTTTTGACAAATTCCCAATGCATGTGGATCTTTTAGCATAAACTCCTATAGCACTTACTGTTAACACTTTTGTACTTATTTGTGACTTGCCTTTATACTATTCTTTTAATTCTTTGTTCTGGCTCATATTAAGGTCATTTCAACCAGATTTTATCTTCTGGGGTGCAGACATTTTGTGTTCCATTTCTTTTGTGTCTAATAAGAAAGGTGTTTTTATGTGTCTGATAAAAATGGGGACTGCTGCCGCTTATTGAGGACCAACTGTAAATGAGGTGGTGTAAACACACTGTCACAAACCTTCACAAACCAAAGCTCCTGGAGTCAAGGTGGCCTATCCAAGGACACTCAGCTAGTAAATGCAGAGCAAAGATTCAAACCAGGCCCAGGTAACTCTACGGTTCATCTCTTTCCCCTATACTTAACACAGCCTGTATGTAGTAGGTGCTCAATAAATCCTTGCAGAATAAATGATATTCCTCAGGCAAAAGGTAATAAGGATGGTGGTAGTGGAAGGAAGTAATGGTGGGATTGTTGAGAGAGAATGAGCAGTTTGATCACCCTGGGTGTGAGGAGATGAGTTGAATACAGCAGATGTGGAGCATCTGGGTACCCTCACAATCAGAGGAAGATGGGGAAGGCGGCATGTCAGGGGAGAGGCAGTGAAAAGGTTGACCAAAGCCATGTATCTTCATGGCAACTGTAATTAGACATAGACTGGGGGAAATAAAGAGGGGGAGGCAGGATTTCTAGAAGGCATTTGAGGGGAGGCTGTGTTTCTCTTTGGTGACCAGCCTGTCTGACTCCTGCCATCTACAGATGTGAAATTCCCTTTCAGCACCGAAGCTCCACAGCAGAAAGGTGCTGGACTCAACTTGGGTTGGAAGGGCCTGGACTGCCTGTCTCCGGGGATTACCTGCCTCATGAGATAGCAGCTCCAGAGCTTGCTGGGCCCCGTTCCCTTGGCCTGAGCCCATGGTGGGATGAAGTGACAGGAAGACTCACCTGGGCAGGCGCCCACAGGCTGAGCCTTCTGTGCTGTGCACGCCTGGCCTCTGCAGGGAGCCTCGGCTTGTTCTGTGCGGGCACCTTCCTCCGGTGTGGGGGCCTTGTGCCCTGGCAGAGAAAGGATACCTCAAGGACTCTGGAGACATCACAGATGGCCAAAGGGCCCCACTGGTGCTGGGAAGAAGGAACATTTGAAACCCTGGCTCCAGCAGGGCCCACAGGGTTCCTCCCACATCCTACCTGAATTCAGGGGCTGAGTTCCTGGCTTCCCAGGGGCTGCCTCAGACTCCTTTAAGCAGGGCAGCTGCTAAGGGTATGTATGAGATGGACCACAAGGTCACAAGAGCCACCACTGTGAGGAGCTTCCGGAATACGTGTATGTAAGGCAGTGGAAGCAAGGAAGGCCCCTAGGAGAAAGGCTGGGGCTTTCCCAGCCCCCACATGGACCCTGGTTCCCAGCAAATCGCTGGGGAGAACCAGGATGTCAAAGGTCAGGCACATTCCTGCCTTAATGCTCTGTTCTGGCTGTACTCCTGCCTGAAGCACTTTTCCCCAATCTGCTGAGCTGTCTCAGCAGATTGTGGCATGATCATACCTCACTGCAGCCTGGGCTTCAAGGGATCCTACTGCCCCAGCCTCCCAAGTAGCTGGGAACACAGGCATGAGCCACCACATCCGGCTAATTTTTAATTTTTTTGTGGAGACAGGGTCGCGCCATGTTGCCCAGGCTAGTCTCGAACTAGGCTCAAGCAATCCTTCCACCTTGGCCTCCCAAAGGGCTGAGAATACAGGCATGAGCCACCATGCCCGGCTTCCCCCAGCTCCTTCAAATCCTACACAAATCTTACCTTCCCAAAGAAAGCCAGTCTCGCCACCCTATTTAATCCTATAACATGCCCCACCCACCCTCACCGGCAGCAGTCTCGGCCCCCACCCCCCGTCAACCCACTTCACCAGACATTATCCTCTCTCCCAGAGCTCTTATCATCTTTGAACGTAGTCTATAAATTTCCTTACTTATTGTTTGCTGACTCACTGCACTCATTAGGATTAAGCTCTTGCAGGTAGGGATCTTTGGCTATTTGGTCACTGAAGTATTCCAAATGTTTAGAATAGCATCCCGCACATAGTAGGTGCTCAATAAATATTTGATGAAGGGAAGGAAGGAAGGGAGGGTGGGAGGGAGGGAGGAAGGAGGGAGGGAAGAAGGGACGAAGGTAGGGAGGGCAGGAGGAAAGCAGGCAGACTCCTCCCTGAGCCTCTCCATGGTTCCTGTTACCTACCTGAGCACACCCCTAGTGCTCTCTCTTCCCTAGAAGAGGACATCTGCTCCTGGACATTATGGGATCCTTCCCTGGGCTCACTTTGGGGGACCATCTCTGGCTGTCCCACAGAGAATCCTGTTACAGGCAGAAGGGTGGGTCCAAGTAAAGCATCCAGTACAGAACAAGTAATCAGAGGCGGGGGCTCTTCCCCTTCCCAGCCTGTCCAAGAGACTTTTCCCAACCTGCTCAGGAAGGACAGGGTCTCTCACCAGCATGGACATGGACAGGTATCAACCTCAGTCCCTTTGAGTTGAGTCAAAAAGGACAGAAGGAAGAGATAGCATAGATGTAAATATGACTGTGCTCTGTGAGTGCTCAAGTGTGCATACGGTCTGGAGCGCAGCCTCTACTATGTATGGTCCAGGCATTCAGACACCCCACGCTACAGGAAAGCAGGTTGCCCTACAGGCCCCTGGGGCCTCAGGGTTGCAGCCTCCTGAGGGTGGCTCTGCTGTCTGAGTTGTAGATGCTCCTGAATCCTCCTAAACTTTTCCCCAAGTCCCTTCATTTCTGCCAGCTCACCCAGGGAGCTGAGGGCCTCCAAGGTCTCTCTCATGGTAACCCAGAGTAGCTCCTCCTGGGGATCGGCCACAGACCCTATGGAGAAAAGACAGCCTTGTTCAGATTTTTCCCACGCCAGCTTCCACCTGGGCCCTGGCTCTGCCCAACCTCTCCCTATGGGCTCTTCCAGGAGCTCCAAAGGTAACATCTCCAGGTACTGGGGGATGTTAGGGAAACTGGATTTCAGAAAGCCAAGAGATCTTTGAAGGTGGCCCAAGAAGGCCTTGAAACCATTTCTGTCAGCTCTGGAAACCAGCCACACCACCCCCTCACCTGGCAGGTCTCTCACGGCCAGCCCTGGCCCATCAGCACCGCAACTCCACGCCCCAGTGTCCTTGCCTGGGGAAGTGCAGTAAAGATTCGATTCTCTGGAGAGAGGCTTGAGGGTGGGAGCCCAGGGTAGGGGGTGGGAAACTGCATCTCCTAGGCCCTCCAGCTGTCACTGCCCGAGCTGGTGAAATAGGAGCCAGCCCTGGGACGGGAGCGAGTGTCACTTTAGGGGTGCTGCTTGGGGAGGTCCTCGAGAGGGTCCTCTTATAGGTAGAAAATGACTGCCTCTCCCTAAACCCCTACCACAAAACCACCTCTCACCCGCGCGGGGCTGCTGCCCAAGGCCCGGACACCGCCCCTGCTGCCCCTTCCCTGCTCCGCCTCCCGCGGATCCCCCGCCCTTCCCCCAGCAGACTCCCCTCCCCCATCTCCCCGGCAGCCTTCCCTCTGCCCCGCCCCTCCCGCTCCCCCTGCCTTCCGCCCTCCCGGCGAATCGGGCCGGCGCCCCGGCTCCGCCTACGGCCCCGCCCCTCAGGCTCCGCCCGCCCGCGCCCGGCAGGGCCAACCCCTCGAGGCCCTCTCCGGGTCGGCCCTCCACTGCCACCGCCTCCCCTGACCCTCCGCTCTAGGCTGCCTCGGCGGCAGCGCTCCCCTCCCCCTCCCAGACTCCGGGCTGCCTTTCCCTGCCCTCCCGGTTCTCCCCCGCTCCATCTCCCTCCCTGGCTGCACACCCTCTCCCTTCCTTTCCCCCTCCTCTTTTCCTTCCTCCCCAACACCCGCCCTCCTCCTCTCAGCTCTTTTCCCCAACCCCGTTCTCTCCTCCCCTCCCTCCTCTCCTCCCCCACCGCGGTTTCCCTTCCTTCTCCTTTCCTCGCCTCACCTCGGTTCCCTTCCCCTCCCCCTTTCCAGCCCTCCCCCACGTCTCCCCACCGCCCTCCCCCTCCCTCCCTCCCTTCTGCAGCTCTCTTTCCCCTCCGAGGCCCCCGCCTCCCTTCCCCCTCTGTCTCCCCAGCAGGCTCCAGCTTCGCTTCCCTCCCCGTCCCCAGTCCCCAGAACCGCTCTTCCCCTCCCCCCTCCCAGGCCGCTCCCCAGCTCCCGGGTCCTCTGGCCCGCAAGCCTGGGGGTCTAGGGCTGACCCGCTCGATCGGGACCTTCCCGCGGGCCCTGCCCTCCCCACCCCGCCTCTCCTCGGAACACCCCTCCGCGCCTCTCCCTTCCTCCGCGGCGCCCCCTCCCCATTTCTGCTCCCCTCGGACTTCTCCTCACCCCTCCCAAGTTTTCCTCCCGACGGGACCCTCAGCTCCACCTCCCTGCCCCAACGCCGTCCTAAGCAGCTCCGATCGCCGACTTCACTCCAGGTCCCGGCCCCCTCCCCAGCTCCGGGGCTCACCTGTCATTGCCCTCCTCTCCCGCCCCTCCCGAGCGGCCCGGTCCCCTGCGCCCGCTTCTTCCTCCCCTTCCCCCTCGGCCCCCTCCCACACTCCCTCTCCCCTCCCCTCTGGGCCCGCCGGCCCCTTCCCACCTGCTTCCCGCCCGACCTACTCCCAGCCCCCGCCCTTCCCTCCAGCCCCCCGGTCCCCTCTACCCCCACAGCCCTCACCCGGCCCTCGCCGTCCTTGCCCTCCCTTTCCCCCAGCCCCCGACCTCCCCCGACCCCTGCCCCTCCCCCACGCCCTCCGTCCGCGCCCCTACCTCCGGGGCTGTCACCTGCGCGGAGCCGGCGGTGACCCGAGCGCGGCGCTGAGGGAGACGCGGGCGGGGCCGCCTGCAGCGGAGTCTCCCCGGCCTTTACCTGGCTGGCCAGCCACTCTGCCCGCGCCGCGGGGACCCAGGCGCCCGGGCCTCCTGCCCCGCCGGCTCTGCTCACAATGGCGCTCGCCGCCTGCAGCTTGGGTGCTGACGGCCCGAAAGACTGACAGACTGACAGCCCCGAAACTTCGCGGGGAGGAGAGGGATAGACGCGCGGGGAGCTGGAGCCGGGAAACGGCGCCCGCGAAGGAGGAGGGACCGACGGAGCGGGCGAAGAGACTCGGCGCACCGGGCTGGGGGAGGCAGGGGCAGGGGTTTTTAGGAGTGGGGTCCCAGGAGGGATCACTGCGGGCTTAGGTGGGCAGGTGATGGTCTTAAGGCTCCGAGCCCTGAGTAGGTGCTGGAAGTGGGAGCTCAGGACGGGGGAGGGGAGGGGTGGGGAGGGTGATGGGAGAGCGGGTGGAGGAGGGCGAGGAGGCTGGGGAGGAAGGGCACTCGGGCTGCGGGGAAGGGTGCCGAGGGAGGGTGCTCGCGGCCGCGGAGGGAGGAGACGGGGAAAGGTGGAGCGCCAACGGGTGGGGTGGGCGAGGAGGAGTTGGGGGAACGAGGAGGGGGCGTGTCGGGGGGGAGCCAGCGAGTCGTGCACTGCCGTCTCTAAGTCGCCGGTGCCAGCCGGGTGTGCAGCGCCGCGTTCCCGCGGGAGGACGGCACGGGGGGGTCGGCCTGCGAAACTCTGGCCCCGCCCCCGTTCTCCACCCGGATTCCGCCCGGATCCCCCCAGACCCACAGCCCCTCGCCCGGAGCCCCGAGGACCGGATTCGAAACCAGCCGTGGGGGCAGACGGGAGAGAGAGCTGGGCCCCTGTGCCTGCGAGAACGGGTCCTTCGAAGTAGAAACTGGGAAGAGGACTTTGAGCCAGGTCCCCTGGGAGAAGGCCGGGCCGGGTCTGGAGCTCCAGGGGGCGAGGCTGGGACGAGGCTGGGCGGAGACTCTGAGGGCGGGGTCCGTGGGAGGGTCTGGGAGGGGGCTGCAGAGAGGGGAGGGCTCTATGGGCGGGAGACGATTGCTGGGGTGCCTGCTGGCCCGGACACCACCTGGAGTTAGATGTGGAGGGCAGCCCTCAGCCCCAGCTCCTCAGGGGACTCCACTCGCCCTCCCTGCCCAGGTTACGAGGTTTCTCCTCGGCCTCGTTCCCACTGCGCCCACTCCTGAAAGCTCCGGAGGTGCTGAAGTCTGGACTGTTAGATCCCGGTCTCCTCTCCATGAACTTTCTCCAAACTCCCTTGGGTTCCAGCTTCCTCCCTCCTGCCCCTTTACTGGAAAGGGTGGCTCCAGCTCGGGTCTCTTCCCAATCTCAGTGCTGCCTGATCAGCCCCGGTTTGAATCCAGAACTGAGAAAGAGGGTGGGAAGGGGAGGGTGTGAATGGTCCTTGAGCTCCTGCTACCACAGCCCACCACAAGGATGAGTGCCTGGAAGAGCGCCCATCCCTCGAGCTCAGCTGTGAAGGCTCCTCTGCCTCCAGGATGAAGGGAGCCCCTGGAGCAGCATGTGTCACTGTGTGTGCCGGGGTGTGGCCGAGCACCTGTGCCAGCGTTGTGAGACTTACAGTGAGAGTGTGCATGTGTGTAAAACAGGAAAGGGGGGTGACTGGGTTGCATGTGGCCCTTTCTAAGGACTCCAGAGCGGGAGTTGATCCCAGCCATCCGTGACCCCCTAAGAGACTCACTCTGGGCCCTTTTTTGGCCCTGGGACCAATGGTGAACCCAGGAGGAGAGTCCCGCCCAGCTCTGGTTCTCAGCAGCCGCCTTCCTCCCCCAGGTGGAATGACTACAGGATGCTGGGAGGGATATCAGGTTTAGGAGACCGAGGGGCGTGGAATTGGAGCCAGGCTGCATTCCAGCCCCGGTGTCCGGGTGTGCTTGGAGCTCTGCTGGGACCAGGATGGACCCCGGATTCCCCTGTGGAGCCTGTCACTGCCCCTCCCAGCCGGACTTTCGGATTATTTCATCCGGCTTAGCTCTCTACCCCAGGGCTGGGGAAGCTGGCTCCCCTGCCCACTCCTTCCAGAGGGTCCTCTCATTCCTCAGCATAGGCTTCCCAGTTCTAGACCCCAGATATTCTAGGAGACCCTCCAAGAAGGAGACAGGGTGGGCCCAACCAGCCATACATAATCATTCTTATGGTCACAATAAGAAACTGAACTCTTACATTTTCCCCACCCATCTCCACACACTCAGGATCCCCAGCTACCCTGGAAGCGCTCCCGCTCACTGCCCCCTACTCCTGAGTTTGGGCAAGAGAGGGGCAGGAGGCAGGGGAGCACCATCCAGGCAGAAGTTCAAGGCTGGAAGACCCCATCGGTCATTTAGCCCAGGAGCTCTTAACCTTTTCATGGGGTCATGGCCCTCTTGAGAATCTAATAAAAGTTATAGAACTGTCTTCAGAAAAATGTGCACATACAATTTCAAAGATTACTGGAGTCTGAGTCCTATCTGTGCATCCCTGGGAAGTCCCTGAAATTTTTACTGGGAAGGAAATTGAGGCCCAGAAAGGGAGGGTGGCTTGCCCAGAGCCCCATGTTAATTTGTGGTAGTGCCTGAGAGTGTGAACACACACACACACACACACACACACACGGAAACAGATGCACTGGGAGGGGACAGGAAGGAGACTGTTTCCAGGGAGAGCTGGCCTCTGAGGGGCTGGTGTGGCAGGTCCAATCCGGTTGTGGGCAGCTGGTGCCCTGGGGCATGAGACTGGAATAAAGCCTCCCCAGCCCCCAGGACTGGCCACTGGGCTGCGGGGAGGCGCGTGGGGCAGGAGAGAGCGCCGCTGGCCTCTCTGTGCCCCCTCTGCAGTATCGCCTCTTTTGAGCCCAAGCCTCACGTTCCCCAAAGGTGCCCTGGGGGTGAGGGTGCCATGCTGCTCCCTGCCCTCCTCTTTGGAATGGTGTGGGCCCTGGCTGATGGGTAAGCAGCCCACCCTGGACCCCTCTGACAAGGGTCCTCCTTCCGCCACATGCCCAGGGACCCTCTGGAGCATCAGACTCCATGCACCCCACCCCCGGGGTCCTCCCTCCACCCCTGCCACTTCCCATGAGTGTCTCTCCCTGCCTTAGCATCCTCTCCTCCTTACTTCGTTAACCACCCCTGGGAGTGGGGTCACAGGACAGGGCTTTTGGTGACAGAGGGAATGGTGGCGGCAGCTGTGGTTCCCCATCATGGGCAGGCGGTGGTGTGAGTGGACAGACACCATCCGTGTGGAGGAGGAAGTAGTACCCCGTCAGGAGGACCTGGTACCCTGTGCCAGCCTCGACCATTACAGCCGCCTGGGCTGGCGGCTGGACCTGCCCTGGAGTGTCCGCACAGGGCTCACCCGGTCCCCAGTGCCTGGGCTCTGTCCTATCTACAAGTGAGTAAGGGTGAGAGCCTGGGCTGTCTGCTGGGCCGGAAAGGAGTGACAGGCCGGACATCCTAAGAGTAGGGAGGCCCTGGAGAAAGCAGGGATTTGGGACGTAGGTTTGGAGTGGGCCTGGAGAAGGGTGGAGTGTGTGAGATTAGGTTGGGGGGTGAGTGAGCACTACGGTGGGCAGGACAGGGAGAGGCCCGAAGCCCACTCCCTCTATCTCCCGCCCCAATCCCCGTGGTCTGCCCTCCCAACATTATTCTCACTTTGCATGTGGAGAAATTAAGGCCAGGGGAAATGATGTGATTAGAGTAGCTGACAAAACTGAATGTCCCCAGCCCTCCCCAGGGTGGGACTGGGCTGAACGCTAACATCTCTTCCCCGTTTCCACCGGCTCGGTGGGCGCAGACCTCCAGAAACCCGGCCTGCCAAGCGGAACCGGACAGTGAGGGCTTGTTGCCCAGGCTGGGGGGGTGCCCACTGCGCTGAGGGTAAGCACCTGAGTGCGTTTGGGGAAGTGGTACCTTCTGGGAGTCCTGGGCAGGGGATGTTAGCTCAACTTTGTGGTTTCGGGCAGAGAACCAGGGCCGGGCTGAGAACTCCAGGCTACCCCATCTTCATTGCCTGGGTCTGCCCCATTCTCCCCACCTACTGCAGCCCTTGCCAAAGCCAGTCCTGGAGGCCACTGCTTTGCCATGTGGCAATGCCAGCTACAGGCAGGCTCAGCTAATGCCTCAGCAGGAAGCCTGGAGGAGTGCTGCGCCTGGCCCTGGGGACGAAGCTGGCGGGATGGCAGCTCCCAAGCCTGTCTCAGCTGCTCCAGCCGACACCTGCCAGGTGTGTCTGCAGACTCCAGCCTGCCAGACAGGCACAGTCCTGGCCATCACCCCTTCCGCCTCCCCAGGCACTCCCACGTGGAGTTCTTGTGCTGGGCCCTCTACAGGGCCCATACTGGCTCCCTGGCCCACTAGAGGGACCATGCCCTGTCTGCCTGCCTCCCGCTGTGCCGGGAGCCCTGTGTCCTCGCCCTCCACCTCTGCCTCACACTCAGAGGTTCACAGTTGGTGTGTCTCTCCCAGGTGGTGCCTCTTCTCCAGCCCTCCTGCAGCCCCTGGCAGGGGCCGTGGGCCAGCTCTGGAGCCAGCACCAGCGTCCCTCAGCCACCTGTGCCTCCTGGTCGGGTTTCCACTACCGCACCTTTGATGGACGCCACTATCACTTCCTGGGCCGCTGCACCTACCTGCTGGCAGGTGCTGCGGACTCCACCTGGGCTGTCCACCTAACACCCGGGGACCACTGTCCCCAGCCTGGACACTGTCAGCTGGTGAGGAAGAGAGATGGGGCAGCCACATGGGAGGAGGTTGGACGGGGGAGGAAGAGAGCCCCGGCCCCCTTTTCCACCATGCATCTCCCCAAGGTCCAGGTGACGATGGGACCTGAGGAGGTGCTGATCCAGGCTGGAAATGTGTCTGTGAAGGGGCAGCTGGTACCTGAAGGGCAGTCTTGGCTGCTCCACGGTGAGAGCACTGGGGGAGCAAGAGGCTGCCCGGGCCCCCACGTGCTCCTCTGGGACAGTCTCTCCACCCTCCAGGCAGGGTCAGAAAAGGAGCAGGGGGCAGTTTGGGAATGAGCCCACGGTGGGCCCCCAGCC